GGAGAGAAATCCACTCTCCTCCCGTCACCTACCGAAGGGGCTGGGCTGAGTTCTCTGCAAAAATGTGCCCAGATAAATTTGAGGTGCCTGGGAGCATCCTGGCTGGCTCTCAGGTGTCCCAGGTAGGTCCTGTCCCACATCTTCCAGGCTTAGGGGGATGCTTTGGATGTTCTCGAATCAAATTATAAAAAGGTGACGTCAAATTATGGAAGGGCTGCCACGGGTGTAGGGTTGAGCTCCAGCACCCCTGAACATCCCAACTCGTGCTCAGGGAGGAGCACACAAAGGCAGCAGGTAGGGTTGGAGCTGTTGGTGTTGCCTCCACCACGACATGGGTGGCCAAATGAGCTTTGCACTCTTTTTCTTTCTTTCTTTTCTTTTCTTTTCTCTTTTTCTTTTTCTCTTTCTTTTCTTCTCTTTTTTTTTCTTTTTTTTTCTCTTTCTTTCTTTCTTTCTTTCTTTTCTTTCTTTCTTTCTTTCTTTTTCTTTCTTTCTTTCTTTTTCTTTCTTTCTTTTTCTTTCTTTTTCTATCTTCCTTTCTTTCTTCCTTTCTTTCTTCCTTTCTTTCTCTCTTTCTCTCTTTCTCTCTTTCCTTCTCTCTTTCTCTCTTTCTCTCTATGCAATTTTTGGGAAAATTCTTACATTAGTTGGCCTGGGAAGAAGTAACGTGCCTCTCCCCCTGGCATCACCAGCTCAAATCAGACCAAGGCTGGGAGGTGAAAGCCATCGGAGCTCCTGTGCTTGATGAACCTGCTCCTTTCTGTCTCCCACGTAAAGCCAGGATGAGCTACCCTCTGCATGAGCCTGTCTCTAGGGACACCAGCCGAGAAGTATAGATAGCTCGTGGCAGACAAAATAAATCCCGCCTGGCACATCCCGGTTAGAAGCATCTTTAGAGTCTTCGGAACGGTTTTGATCCCCAAATGTCGCATTTCTCCGCTTTCTTGCAGAGATGAAGCACGCCAGGAACTGCCCCATCGATTGTGCTTCTGTTTACTACAACGGGCTCCGGCGGTCGGGGGTCTACAGCATCATGCCCTCCGTAGGAGGGATGCCTATCGAGGTGTTGTGCGAGATGGACACCGAAGGTACCGCGGGACCTACACCATCTGCCAGGAGAGCTCAGGGTGGGAGATGTGTCCCTGCGAGCTGTCTCCTAGCTGAGGGTTACAGCCTCTCTGCTGGCTAAAGAAAGGGAAATTTGGATAAAGAGTTCGAACCGGGCATTAGGGCTGGGACTCAGTTGTCTAAACGCAGGCATTTGGGGCTCTTTGGGATCTCCTCACATACCCAAGGTATTTGCAAAGATCTAGTGGATACCACAAAGGGCTTTGGGGAAGAGAAGCCCTTTTGGAGGAGGGGGTGCCTGGAGCATCTCCGGGCAGCAGAGAGCAATCCCTAAATGGATCCCTAAATGGGGAGAGCCTGCCCAGAGATATTTTGGGGTGTAAAAGTGGGAGCAGATGACCACCCGGCCCTTTGCTGTCTAAATATCCATACGCAGCGCATCATCCCTAGGCACAGCCTTACTAACAAAATCACTTTGCGAGGCCCAGATTTGGGAAGAATGACGCCAGTTGTCAGGGAACCGCGGTGGGCTGTCAGCTCCTTGCCCCATGGGTCTTCTCCTGCCGGGATGGACGCGTCGCATTAACACGTCCTGAGATGGAGGAAGGGGTTGGTTGCCCACAGGCAGGCTTCTCGCCTACTGGGGAAGGTTGGCCCAAAAGATCTACAGGTGATGGCAGCTTGTGGACACAAGCAGTCATTAAGAATTGGGCTGTTCAGGCCGTGTGGTTATGGCATTGCTATTATTTGCACGACCATTGTCACAGTCTTGGACACTGCCGGGTGACAGCCTGTACAAACAGCAAATAAAAACACGTCCCCAGTCCCCTCCTCAGTCTTACAGTTTCGGAATGAAATGAGAAAGAGGGATTCAGACAGATGGGAGAGCAGATGGAGACTGTGAGACAATGCTGGAAGAGAGCTCGTGTGCCTCTGTGGTGCTGCGGGAACAGTACATAACAATCTCCAAACTCCAGGATCTCCAGTTCGTTCCAGTCCCAAAACATTTGCCTCCCCCGGAGCACCACTGTACTCATTTAAAGCCACCTCCCTGAGCTGGAGATGGACCCTCAGAGGTGACACCACACCGTGTGATGGCAATGGGACTCATGGACGTTCCCTCCAGACTTCCCTTTTCCTTTCCATCCTGCAGGTGGGGGCTGGACGGTCATCCAGAGGCGTCAGGACGGCTCGGTTGACTTCAATCGGACCTGGAACGAGTACAAGGAGGGCTTCGGGGACCTCAGCGGCGAGTTCTGGCTGGGCAACGAGAACATCCACAAGATAACCAGCCAAGGGGACTACTCGCTGCGTATCGACCTGGAGGACTGGAACAACAAACACAAGCACGCCTTCTACCAGGTCTTCAGGTAAGAGCTGGGGTGGTCTCCACTAATTCTTGGTGATTTATTATCCATAACACACCAGCCACGTCCTTTATTAAGCAGGGATGGCCAGGTCTGTCTAGACAGTCCCAGATGAACTCTTTCCTTTTCTCTGCTGGAAATGTTTGTGGGTGACCGTGGGAGGATGTGCAGGGTAGCGCTGCATGTTTGAAGCTTTGGGGCTTAAGGTAGACCCCCAAACTGCTGAAAATACCTTAAAACAGAACAAAACAAACAAAACCACAAAAAAATATGTTGCTTGAAAGTACCTTGGAGCATCTTCTGCCAGGAAACGTGCTCTGAATGATCACCCCGATTTTTTTTTTCTCATCGGATGCCATGTGCAACAGCAGTCACCTTCAACCTTTGCTAGCCCAGGGGGCAAATTACTAATTAGCTCAGTCAAGGTGAAGGGCAGGATGTTTGCTCTGTGGAGGAGAGGCAGAACGGTGTAATCAGAGGGTTTGTCTTGCCAAAGCCGTCTCAGCCCTTTGTTGTGGTTGTAGAGTCACGGTCTGCCTGGCTCAGACCTAAAGCAAGCGCCCTGAGTCACGCCAAAAACATCCCCCAGAAGGGGGAAATCCATCGGCTTTGGCTCTGAGAGGTGATGAATCACAGCGGGGAGCCTGGGCAGAGCAGCCTGATGATTGCTAGGTGCCCACACCAGGAATGTGGTCCACAAACCTGAGAGGAGGCTCGGACTCTCCCCTTTTAAATAATTTCCCCTTTGCTGGCAGCATCGAGGACGAGGCCAACTACTACCGCCTGCACGTGGACGGGTTCAGCGGGACGGTGGAGGACTCCTTCGCCTGGTACCACAACAAGAGGAGCTTCAGCACGCCCGATTCGGGGAACATCTGTGCCGAGATCTCCCACGGGGGCTGGTGGTACCACCAGTGCTTCTTCTCCAACCTCAACGGGGTGTACTACAAGGTAAAGGGGGGGAAAGGGACACAGGGGTGGCACTCAAGGGCTGGGGACAGGGTCCTCACGTCCCTGAAATCCTTCATGGCTTGGCCAAGCTCTGCTCTTGGAGCAGGGCTCAAGGGAGTGCTGGCACCGGGGCAGCCCAGCCCTTTCGGTGCCAGGGATCAGACACAAGCATCAAGCCACCTCTTCACGCTGTTTTTTGGGGCCGTTTGGTGGTGACTCATGCGGCCTGAGATGCCACCTCCTCTGGGAGCACCTGAAATATGTCGAGCTTTGCGTGCCCTTCCCACCGTGTCGCTGTGGTGTTTGAGTGATCAATTTTCTGACACCTCCGTGTGTTTCCCATCCTTCTTTCTGCACCGCAGGGCGGCCGATACTCCATTAAAAACCGAAAGATCCTGGGCCCCGACGGCATCGTGTGGTACTCATGGAAGGACACGGACTACTACTCCCTGAGGAAGGTGGCCATGATGATCCGGCCACGCACCTTCCGTCCCCACCTCTCCCCGTGAAGCAGGCCCGGGCCTTCTTCCATTCACCCATTGCTGGGAACAAAAGTGTGTGGAAATAACTCCTCGGGAGCAAAAACTGAGCCTGGGGGTCCCTGATGGACTGAGCCACCATCCTTCCTGCTGCCTGTGGGCCTCGGAGAGAGCTGAACCACCCCCGGGAGCGTGAAGGCCTTCAGCGATGCTGGGGTGGTGAAAGCTCTCCTCACGCCATGGAGGTGGGCCATGAGGATGGCCTTGCGAAGACAAGCATGGGGCAGTTTTTCACAGCAGTTTTTGGCAGCATTTTTTTTTTGGCAGCACTTTTTTTTGGCAGGATTGGGCTTCCCCAAGGCCTGAGCCCCAACGCGGCTGCTGGCTTGGGGTGGTTTGTAGGCCGCAGCTTGTGTTGAGGGGAGGTGTTGAGCGCTCTGGATGTGAACCCAAGAGTAAATTCAGACCAGCAATCCTGCATTTATTTTCTACATCTCTTGGCTTGGTGTTCACATTATTGTGTGTGTATTTAGCACTGGAGGTCCAACGCTTCAACCCAGGGATGTCCTGCAAGGTGCTGAGATGGCCCTGGGGAGAGCAGGGAGACCCAACCTCACTGCCCAAACCTCATCGTGGCCAAAAAAGGAGGAAGATCCGCAGTGGTCCTCGCTTCTCTGGCAGGGATTGTGTAGCTGCAATAATTATGCCCCAAATAAAAGGATTTAAAAATCAAAATGCTGAAGATTTTCCGTTTTTCCATCGCGTTTTCACCTCTCAGGCCTTTCTCTGGCAAAGAACTGATGAATTTTCTATCCACCTTAGGTGTGGTTTGCAGGAATGATTAGAAGTGATTTTAAGTCTTATTTTACTGCCTTGTTCTAGATAAAGAGGAGTTGTTGTTGCTTTCCTTTAATTTCTGTAGGTTTTTTTCATCTGTAGTTGCAGCTAGAGCCCCTCTTTTTTTCTCCCGACCTCGCCTCCTTGCAGGATCAAGAGATGGAGCCCACGGCCGTGCTGCGGCTGCTGATGAATTTTTAATCAGATTTCCTTTTTTTTCCTGCTTCGTTTGGGCGGAAGAGTTCAAAGAGGGTTCAGGGAAGGGGAATGGCAGCTGTGCTACAGGTTAAGAGCAAGGGGAGAAAAATGAGCTCCCCGAGCCTCGCTGGGTCTTCGTCCATGCTCATCGGGAGCTGAGACCTGGTGAAGATCTGAGCTGCAGGTTATGGATGGGATAACCCGGGATGCTGCACCAGGAGCCTGGACACGGTCAGGTTTTTGGGGCGGTTTGGGGGTTTTTGGCTGCTCCTCCAAGCAGCCTCCTCCTGGCTGTGCCCTTGCTGCCACCTTCTTCCCCTCGGTGCCCCCTTTTTTTCTCCTCCCTTGCCACCCACTGGCTTCTCCCCAGGGCGAGCTCTGCTGTCCTGGCTCTGCTCCCCGTTTCTCTGCCGCCCTCCTCAAAGCTTTTGGGAGCTTTCCAAGACTCCTCGGAGGAAGCTCCCTCAGTCTCTCCCTGTTTCCTTCCTCCCCAGCCCAGCATGGGTGCCTCTTTCCATTGTGCCACGGTTCCTCCAGCCCTTCGGGCCCCGCGGTGCACACGCTGTTGTAGGCTGCGGCCCAGGGCCCTGGGGGAGAACAATATATTGCGTTATCCTTTGTTTATTAAAATAAAACGGACGGAGCAGAGCAGCATTTTGTTTCCTGTGGGTTTAGCCAGCCCCTCCAAATCTGCTGATGGTCAGCCTCGAGATTCCTGTTGATGTCATCCGCTCAAGATTTATGCCTCCTGCCCACTCTTCCAGCCTGTGGCCTTTCCTCACTTCTTGCGTTTTTAACAAAACCTTCTGCAGCCTCCAGCTCCTCTCCCACGTGGATTTTGGGGGTTTGGTAATGCGGAGCCCACCATTTTGTGTGGCCACGGTGAGCTCCACACCGCTGACTCCATCTCCTTTTCTACGTGGTCCCCCATTTTGCTGTCGCATTTGGGCGTGATGGGACCCCCTGGGCACAATCTTTGCTTTCCCATGAAGGTCTGAACCCCCCTGGGGACCCCACCAAGGACCCCATTGGCCCAGGAGGAGTGGATATTTGGCTCTTTTGGGAAGCTGGTCCTAAATTTTGCTGCCACCATCTTTCAGGGTGAGAGAAGGAAGAGAGGAATTGGTGCTGCTTCCTCCTTAGGGCTGGGGAAGCAGAACTCCCCCTGGCTCTCCTGACACTGGGGACACGAAATTTCGCTCCACGGATGGACCAAAGGGGGTCATCTGGCCTCAATATAGACCTTAGCACGTTTCCAGCCCCCTCATCCTCACCGTGTCGGCCAAATCTCTCCATGCAAACAGCTCCAGTTTGGCTCATGCTCCCCCTCAGCCCCATTCCCCACCCCAGTGCAAGCGAACTTGGGGTGCCCCCCCCACCCCACCCAAAAACCACACACAGGAGACACTGCACCGCTCGTGAGAAAACAAAAGAAATGCCAAGGCAGTTTATTTACAACCATAGTATACAAAAAAAAGGACAGCTCGTGCCACAGCTAGAACAGCCCCCTCCATCTCCTTCACCCGCCGCCTTCTCCCACGCTCCAGATTTTGGCAGCCCCTCCAGGGGCGGGTCCCCCTCCCCAGCCCCCGGGGTCGGGGTGAGCATCTCATGGCACAAGAAGAGACACGGCTCCCTCTGGACCTGAATCAGTGCTTGTAAAAACCTTCTCTGGCTGTAGAGGAGACCGAGACCTTGGTTTGCATCAGGGTTAGAGATGCCAGGGGCTGGTGGTACTGGGACCAGTGCCTGCTGGCAACTGGGAGAGGAGGGGATGGACCCCCGGGGCAGAAAGCAGAGTCTCCGATGTCTCCTGCTGGGAAGGAAGGACTCCCTGCCCTGCTCACCCTCCCTGGAGGCACAGATCTCCCTCCCCAAAACACCTCCTGGGGGGCACGGCTTGGGACAAGGCAGCAGCGGGGTGCCCCACGCTGCCTCTCGCCCTGGAGTCACTCTGGAGCAGAAAAAGGGATTTTTGTCCAAGAGCTACCAAGAAGATGAGTCTTGGGAGATTTTTTACAAAAAAACAAGCAGCTCTTTGGGGTCTTTCGGTGTCACCCTGAAAAGGATCCTCAGCATCTCCTACAGCCGGGTTGAAGCCTTTGGAGCAAGCGAGTCTCGCTCTGACCACCTCCAGCGAGGGGTCTCCTCTCCCCCAAAGCGGTGCTGGAAGGTTTAGGGGCCAGTAACACCCACCCTGGCTAAGACCCTGGAGCCGAGATGGGATGAAAGGAGCGGGGGGTCACCAAGAGATGCCGCTGCCCATCGATGGCCAGGAGCCCGCCGGGGCAGGACGGAGCCGGAGAACCGCAGCTGGAGGGGGGCGCGCACCCGCCCGCCTGCCCAGCACCAAACGAAAGTCACACACGACGCACATTTTCCCCCCTTCCCTCCCCACCCTCTCCATCCCCGGGGCCAACTCTCCTCTTCACCAGCTCCAAGGCTGGCTCCTTCCAACCTCCTCGGCAGGCGGCACGCCGGACCCCCGTGGGGCGCGCACCCCAAAACCGGGGAGGCGCGCGCACTCCCGCCCGCCCACCCATCCGCTCGCCTCCCTCCCCACCCTCCCCGAAACGACTAGGATGGCTTCACTGGTCAACTCTGTACATTCACAAACAAAGAAAGCAGAGGAACGTCCCCTTCCACCAGCCGGCCTCGCGCTGCGGCAGCCTCCGCCACCTCCCCGGAGCTGTCAGTCCAAGCATCGCCTCTTTACCTGGAGGCCTCTTCCTTGAGCTCCTTGTTTTTCCTCACTTCTTCTGCGTGTTTGTCCTGTGGGGGGAGGGTTTGGGGGGGGGTGGGAGGGAAGGGGGGAGACGCGTTAGCTCGCCGGGCTTCGGGCCCCACGGGCGGGCCAGCGGCTTCGGAGGGGTTCGAAGGCACCGAGGGCGTTCGCGAGGCCAGGTTCGTCCCCGGAGGGACAGCGGTGGGTCAACTGCGTCCTCTCCTCCCCGGGTTTTAAGAGGGTTTTAAGGACCGTGGAGGCACTCGGGGACAAGACTGCAAGATTGTCCTCGCCCTCTATCTAGGAGGTAGACGTCAGCCAGACAAGGCGGAGCGGGAACCCCAAAGGAGATGGGGCGAGCTCGGATTGTCCGTCATTATCTCGTGCTCTCTGCCTCTGCCCCAGGGCTGGCCGAGGCGTTTGGAGAAGGGCACTGGGCGAGCTCCTTGCAGAAGGGATGTTTTGGAGGGAGCTGGAGGTGGTGAGGGTGGTGGGACCTTCCGTGCTGAGGCTGGGAGCAGACCTGCTTCGGGGGAGAGAGAAGAGGTCTGCACACAGCGGCGGCACGGCAGCACGGACACGCCAGGCCCTCTGGGGTCACCCCCGCCCCGGTGGGACCTGGATTTTGGCTAACGCCCCCCCCTTCGGCGGTGTCCCCAGGGGGTCGTGCCACCCCATGAGCCATGCGGGGTGCCCGGATGGGTGTCCCGGTGCTTCCCCTTTCCCCTTCCAACCCCGCGGGGGTCTCACCTTCTCCTGCAAGCGCTCCAGCATGGCCGCTAGGTGCGCCTCGCGGTTCTCCTTGTTGGACTCCATCTTCTGCGCCAGCTTCTCTTTGGCCATTTTGATGAAGTTGTTGTTCTCCTCGATGGCCTTCTGGATGACCTCCCGCTCGTGCTCCCGCTTCTCCGCCAGGTGCTTCAGCAGCTCGGCCTCCTGGTACTGCGGGGGGCAAAGGGGGCACCGTGGCCGTGGGCGCCGTGGACACCACGAGCACCACAAGGACCACAAGGACCACAAGGACCACAGGGACCACGGTTTCCTTCCCTCCCCGATGCCACCACCCCCTCCAAACTCAGCGATGTCCCCCGCGGTGGCTGTGCCATGGGCACGAGGCTGTGTCCCCGTGTCACCTCCCCCGGGGTGCGCTCCCGCGGGCGCCACCTCCGCACCCACCTTCCTCCTCTCCTCCGCCGCCTCCAGCTTCTTCTGGATCTCCTCCAAGGAGGGGTCGCGCCGCCGGGGCAGGGAGGCGTTGAATTCGGGGATGCCGTCGAAGGAAGGGGGCTTCAGGATCACCTCGAAGGACTGCCCCGAGGTGCGCTTGTTGAGCTCGATGACTTCCATGTCGGAGATGACGCACCAGGTGAGGTCTACGGTGTCTGCTGGGAGAGGGGCAAGGGCTGACTGCTGGCACGGGTGCCTCCCAAATCCTCCCACATTAGGGGGGATGAAAGGATGGAGGGCAGCCAGCTGGGGGTCCTGGGGGGTGAAGGGAGCTCAGCCCTTAAGCTGAGGGGGTCTGGAGAGGAGAAGGCTTTGGGGAGACCCTCCCGGTGCCCTGCCCAAGGGGGTTTTCAAGAAATATGGAAAGATTTTTGGGCTTGTAGTGCCAGGAGGAGGCACGATAGTTGAAACTTGAAATAGGGTGGATTTGGATTGGCTTTAAGGAAGAAATTTTTGGTGCTGATGGTGGTGAGACACTGGGGGCGTCCCAGAGGAGCTGTGGGTGCCCTGACACGGGGGGCTCCTACCTTCATAGGTGTACGCCGGTTTGTTCAGGGGGTCCGAGAGGAAGCAAGAGCAGAACAAGGAGACGAGAGGCAGCTCCTTCATCTTCTCTTTGTAAGCTGGGGAGAGAAGGTGGGAGCGGGGTCAGCGGGCGGGGGGCCTGCCCGGCGTCGGGCAGGGGCTGCCGTGTGTTGGGGACGGGCTGGGATGGGGCTGGCACGGTCTGCTAGGTTACAGCAGGG